ACTGAAAAGAAAAACACATTTCAGTTTAGATAAATTACAATTTTTTATTTTATTTTATTTTTTTTACTTCATCCAAACAGCTACTCAAAGGAAAGAGAGAAAGAAAGATGGAAAGACTGAGAGAAGGAAGGATTAGTAATCTTTCAGCTGCAACCTTAAACAAATAGCAGCTCAAGCAGCCACATTTGTTTATTTGCAAAATGAAAATAAAAGTGCCTGGTCAAGCTTCTCACTCTATTAAGGAACCAAAACATTGAACATCTGTCACTTCAAAGGTTTCAGACAACTGTTTAATGCCATTGAAGTGCTAGTGCAGCACTCTACATGCCAGATTCCTGAGTGCATCCTTCCACTACTTCCTGGTGGTTTGTCTTCTTGGTCTCAGACCTCCTAGAAGTGATGCAGGTGTCCAGCCTCGAAGGCAGATCTGCTAAGAAGTCTCAGCAGGAGTATATTTTTCCACTTTGCTCAGGAGTAGCTTTTAAATAGAGGCTCTTGTTCTTGATCTCCGGTTGAACTGCAGCAGCACAACATCCATGCCTTACCTTGTAGTGGGCCATGTTGATCTGGACCCAGATCCCAATTCCGGGCTGACTTATGGCCTTGACCTTAGCTCTGCCTCATCAGCCTGGTCCAACCTGGATCTGGAATCCAGAGCTGACCATGACTGCTCCTCCAGATCTTTCCTGCTCACATCACTCGGGGCTTATAGACCTCAGCCAGGCTGGTGAGGCCTCAGTTCTGATAGCCATGTTATCAATCCAGGCTCTCACTGCTCCCTGACAGGAAGCCTGGCTTCTAACAGTACTAAAACAAAATAAAACAAATACTGAAGCAAAAATTATGGTGCGATCAGGACAGTATATTTATGTTCATAAGTGATAGATTTTTGTGAAAAATCTTGTTTGGATTGTTTATATATAGAATGAAGAAAAACAAACTAGTATGGCAAACTAGTATAGCTTTGGCCTTGCCAAACTCAAGGCAAGCATTCATTCACCTTGGCTTGTCACAGGGACATTCATCTCCTCGAAGAAAGCTATCACACTGGTTGTGCATAATTTAGCCTTGTCAGTATCTTGTCCTTTATGTTCTTTGATATTGCATTTAGAAATATTTTTCTCCGTTATAGTTGCTAAGTGAAGTGAGGGTGACTAGGCAAAATGTCCCTGCATCAAATCTTCTTGCCTTTGTTAGAGAATGTGATGTTTTGCTTTCCATGAATCATGAGGAATCTCTTGTAATCACTGTGATCTTTCAAACCTTATCAATTGCAAGCAGCATTGTGGTGTTATTGGACTTCTCAGGCAATCCCCTGCCTTTGCTTGCCCAATTGACTGACGTGCTCCCATCTTCTTCCCCTGCCACAGAGTGTTTTTCACTTCCCCAGGCTTTGCTACCAGACTCCGGGACCTGGGAGGCTAGAGCAGACCTTACCAGTTCAGAAAGGCAAACAAGGCTTTGAGTATTTTGGCTTATTCCATGTCTTATGTCAGTAGATCCCTACTCCATTGAGGAGAGGCTTCACATTTTCCTTAGTCTTTTTGTTGGAAGTCTTTCTTGTTTTCCTCTGCGTCCCATGCCAGTTTCTATTCCTGCAGATTCCTAATTCCTGTTACAGGTGTTACAGCACCTGTTTTGCTCAGGTGCTGGCTCTGTAATCCTGTTGGGTAGCCCATCCCTGCTTTCACATCCTCTATGCTTTCTTCTTGGTGTTTCATCTCACTTTTTCATGTTGATGGTTACATCTTCTGCTGCAGAACTTCTTCATGGACTGTATGACAGAATGTGCTTGTGTAAGTTTTGAGGCAGCAAGCTGCATGAATAAATTATTACAGTGTAATTCCTGAGGCAGTAGGTTGGGATGTGTACAAGCACTTCTTCAATGGTGGGAACTGAGCTGCAAGAATAACCTAGAAATCTTTGTTCATAACAGCAGTTCCTTAGGACAGATGAGCATGGGTACTTCAGGGAGAGTAGAAGAAGGGACACAAAATGTGTTGGATGGAAACAAATGCAAACTTCAACAACAGTAGCTGCAGAAACTTGCTGTGTCTTCCTGTAGCCCTAGTTGATCTGAAGGGATTTAGAGTTCAGTTGTCTTGGTGTTATTCAGAGATGCATAGCTTCATTGGATACTAGTAATCAGTTTCAAGCAGTGGTCTCATACAGAACAAAAGGGTTTACTTAAATGCCTTTTGTGCTTACATATACTATGCAGTGCTGACTGCAATAATGAGTAATGCAAAAGTTACGCAGTAGAGGTCCTACAAATTTAGCTTAATGAACTGGCAAAGGCATTCATTTATCTCAGTTGTTTTAGCAGAGTTTCTCTGGAGCAATTGTGGTGTGCAAGTTTTGCCAAACTTATTTTCTTATCTTAGGGGGGGAAGGCTTTTGCCAGGAAAACAAAGCTCAAGTATCATCTCAGCTTTTGACTTAACGTGTTAGCTTTGAACTTGCCTGCCATAAAAGCAAATAGAAAATCTTAAATTGTCTTATCTTTCAGCTTAAAAGCTTGTCTACTTATAAATGCAGTGTTGCAAAAAAAATGAGATTTTATTCTGATCATCACTGTATGATGCAGTAGAATTCCAGCCTTTGGTTTCCTTTGCCTGTCAAGTCAGATCCTTTGTCGTGCATTCAATCAATATTTACAGGATTTACAGGATAATTCACAGGCAAATTAAAAGTTATTGTGACACTTTCTGTAGTCAGTCCTGTTGCAAAATATGACATTGTTTTCTGACATTTGTTCAGATAGTTTTATTGGGAATAGCAGCATTTTTTAGCAAAATGGAAATAAAATATCTACAACTTTAAAGTTTATAAAGTAAGCTTTAGTAATACAGTATATTAAATTGAGAATTTTACTTGATATCCATCTGGATAGTGATACTGCCTTTCTAAGGCATTTTGGCATTTGTTGCTGAGATTTTTTAATATTGCTTGCAATAAAGACATGAGTTTAATTCACTCTGAGTGATAATATAAAATCACCTTTTTTTCATCTTTGTTCTCCCTCTGCTCCAAGGCTTTTTATCGTGTCAGTCATTATTCTTTATCTGCTAATGATAAGCAACATAGCATTTTACCTGCTGCATTTTGCTTTTACCCCAGTTGTTGTCCATGCTTCCTTCATAAGCTGTAAAGAATTAACTACACTGGCAAAGTAAAACTGAATCTGCCATGAAGACCTGAAGATGCACTCCACTTAGTTTGACCTCATAAGCAGCAGCATATTTTAGTATAAGATTGACTGCTTTGCCACATTTATTCCATATGTTAGTCTTGCTGTGCAAAAAAAATTGGTAGAAGATTGACTGACTGCTGCAGAAAGCAGTAATGTCTATGAACAAAATGAATTATTATTTCAGAGTGATTTTTGAACATGAAGCCACCAATGTATGGACTGAATCTTTAAATGCTACTGGAGAATATTGTCTCTTATCAAATAAAAAAATACAAGCACATAAAAATGTATGAAAATTACTAACATTAAGTTTTATTTTGTTTTGTCTTTTGTAACTGATAGTGCTTTTAAAATTTTAATGGTATACATTGCATCACTTAATCTGATTAACAAGTTTTGTTAATATTATCTTACTCAGTAATTGCTGCTCTTAGGACAGCATTTTTAGTACTATCATCTTTTAAGTATAGATGCCAGAAAATTCTCATTTCTGACAAAATGTATTACTAAGGACATTGTACAGCCTTGATATCACAACTGCTATTTGATGCATAAAATGGGAGTGTGGTTAGTAAATGCAAGGTGTTTGTGTAAGAATGTATGTGTAGGTTTAGTAGCAGATTTTCAGAAGTTCTATTCGAATCATTAGGCCATTTCATAAATCCACTGTAATCAGTTTTACAAACGTTGAAACTTTTAGACTTAACTGAGATTGCATGATGTTAATTAAATCTATGCACATTCCTTGGAAGTCTTAGCTGTAACCTAGGGGGGAAAATAACTGAAAGGGCAGCTGCGTTGTTACTTTCTGAGGCATCATCAAGTACTGACAACAGACGAGAGATCTGAATCCTGCATAATGCTGCATCTGTCTGCTGGGAACAATCCACCAGGAACACCTTGAATCCTGTTCTGAGGGAGGCTGTTTGACAAATAGAAAAATTACTTGTCTTGCAGCATGTTACCTGTATACCAGTCTAACAATTAAGGCCCTTCTGTGATAGGCAGTTCAGGGTGCAACTGCATGAGAATTGAATTCAGAGGCAGATGCTATAGAGAAAAATTAAATATGGAAAGATAATATAAGCAGGTTTCTATAAACGTTCTAGGAAATCTGCAGCATCAAAATGAGAAAAGATGTTGGTCTTTCAGACAAGAAAGAACACAGGTTCAGTGGAAAAACTGTGAGGAAAGTGTGGGGCAGCGCTTAGTGTTCAGACATTTAGTGCTGCTGTTAACTAAATAGTGAAAAGAGCTTATTAAACAAAGATCTAAAAGTACTCTGCACATCTGAGTAGCTTGACTATTGTGGTCACCACTAGTGTTGCGGTGTTCCACTAAGCCACAAGTACAGGAAGCTAACAACCACACAATAATAATAAATCAGTTTAGAGGAGCCTCCTCTTCTCCAGGGTGAACAGACTCAGCTCTTTTTGTGTGTGTAGTAAATAAATGATTGTTTATCTTGACTCTCACAAAAGTACTCTTGCTTAAACTTTTAAAAAATGTAAAAATAACACTTGCATTTCTATGTAATTGAACAGTAATCAGATCACATTTCGTTTGCATGAAAACTGCAGGTTAGATTGTCAATGAAAATAGGGGCACCCAGAAAACAAAATAGCATTCATCTGTTGTTACATGATTTTATTCTGCATCTTCTTTTTAGTCTTCAGGAAGGAAAGAACTGGAAGTATATGTTCAGCATACGTGAACTGCACAGAATACCCTGTAGGCAACTAGTGTCACAGTGATGCAGTATTCTCAAGTATCTTTCATAAGAAGACATTTCCTCTTATATTTTCAGATATTTCCATCAGTGATCCATCTTTCCGAAGTAACGAATCATCATGGATGTCATTTGCACCCTTTTATATCCGACATAAGACCCATATCAAACTGCAATTTCAGCCTCTTTCTCCAGATGGTATCCTGTTTTACACTGCACAGCGTTTGGGTACTCAGTCAGGTAAGGATACTCCCAGTTTTAGAATTAGCTAGAATTATATACCCAGTTGCTTTTCTGAAGAAACAGCACAAGTCTTATGAGGAGTGGCTGAGGGAACTGGGATTATTTAGTCTGGAAAAGAGGAGGCTAAGGGGAGACCTTATTGCTCTCTACGACTACCTGAAAGGTTGCGGCGAGGTGGAAGTCAGTCTCTTCTATTAGCGATGGGGCTAGAGGGAATGTCTTGAAGTTGTGCCAGAGGAGCTTAAGGTTGGATTTTAGGAAAAGTTTCTTCTCCAAAAGAGTGGTCAAGCACTGGAATGGGCTACCCAGGGAGGTGGAGGAGTCACCATCCCTGGAGATGTTCAAAGAATGTTTAGATGTTGTACTGAGGGACATGGTTTGGTGGGCAATATTGGTGGTAGGTGGATGGTCAGACTGGGTGATCTTGGAGGCCTTTTCCAACCATAGTGATTCTATGATTCTGTGAAGTGATGCTAAGTCCCTGTAACTCATTGTGAATAATCACGTTCATGAGAACAAACACATATAAGAAAATTTAAATGAGTCCAAAGCCAACAAGGATTTAATGAAGTTGATTCAACAAACCATTTTCTCCTGAAAAGCAATTGCATCTTCAACAAATGTAATCTTCAACAGGTGTTTACTGGTACTGCTTCCATAGTTGTAGTGCAGCTACACTAGGATTCACAAGCTGAGAGTTTGGCCCAGTATTTTAGAATGAACGAAACTAAAGCAGTATAAAAACAGATAAAACTGAAAATATGCAAAAGCGAACTGTGAAAGAGCACTAAGGTTCATCAGAAGTTTAACTGTTTCTTCTATAGTACTGAAAAGTTTGCTGGCGCACTATGCAAAAAAAAATTGAAGTTCTGCATTTTCCAGATATACAGAATGAAAAACATACTTAAATAAAAGATTTCTACTGTTTATAAAATTTTAAATTTTAAATAAACTTTTAAATTTTACTGAGCAAACATTCCTAAAACTTCATGCCAAAAATGTAATTTGCTGGCCATTGCAGATATATTTTAAAATTTGGTCTTTTAGATGTATATTTTCTGCACTATATTTTATTAATGTATCTCATCTTTACATTGCATTTATGTGATGTCTTGCATGTTTTTAAACAGAAGCATCACAAATCATTCGTAATGTGATGTGAGAGCAAATGCTCAATTGTATTAAGCAGAATGTTATGCCACAACGGGGCTTTGTGTGATAAAAAAGTACGCAAACTATTGATCATACATTTTTTTGTTTCTTCACTCAAGGCCCAGAGCCTTGAGGCAATTGAATTAGCATCCTCAGATGTGCATATGTATGAACAGACATACACCCAATTTACCACCTTCCTATTCTATGCACAGCTGTTTTGGCAGGCTGCTGTTAGGTAAGGTTGATAATATATCATAGAGTGCTGGCTTGTCTTGTTCCAATTACAACCATATATGAAGCAGCAGCTTTAAAGAAAAATAGATGGCACATCTGTAATACAAATACATTCATTTTCAAAGAACTATGTCTTCTACAATGAATCTTTTATAATTCTATCACTCGGAGGCCAAATTCTGAGACTCTCAGTGCATAGTTCTCTCCTGTGTAAACTAAATCATTACATGGGCCATGAAAAATAGATGAGAAAAAAAGGATCTCTCTCAAAAGAACCCTGGAATAGTCAGAGGTCATGGAAACAGCTAGCATATAAAGAAATTAAATATCTCTTTGGCAGCATCAAAGAGAGAGCTCAGCCTGTTTAACTCAGGCCAGGAGTGGTTTAGCATCTGTGTGCCCTCAATGCCCTTCAGGAATGTTTAGTTTGTGCAGAAAGGCATATTTTCTTAAAATCAATCTCTAGAACCATATGAATTTCATTTCAAAACAAAAAATGTCTTCTGTAGCTTAATTTACTTTCTTTACACATTTCCCACTACCTTTTTCACTGCCCCGAAGTTTTAAAAGATTTAGGAAAAGCTAATCGTGTGGCCCTTGATATTTGCCTTAATCTAATCCTGTCAAATCCAGACAGAATTAGGCTGATGAAAGACTCAGAAGTATTCTTAGCAGCCAACAGATGTGAAAGAGCTTTCTGGTGGGGATTAGTTTACAAAGCACTTTGTATAAATCCTTTTCTTCTGTGCAGTTATATAAGATTTAATAAATTGATTGTCCAAACCACAAGATCTTTTTCTAAATTTCTTAATAGGGAATAATTAGAATATTTTTCTTCTATTTTTCTTTTTTTTCTTTTCCTTTTTTTTTTTTTCTTTCATTTTTTTCCCCTTTTCCTTTTCCTTTTGTTTCCTTTCCTTTTTCTTGTTTTTTGTTTTGTTTTCTTTTGTTTTTTTCCTCCTCTTTTCCTCTTTTCTCACTCAACAAAGTCTGCTTTGTAAAAGAAAGGAGATCTGACTCTGCAGCTAATATAGGATTGATACTGAGTTGTAGCATGTCACACTGACACAGTTGTGCATTGGCTTATTACCTGATGTGAATAGTACATTGGGACTTTCCCTGCAAGGGACTTCAGGGGCATATTCTCATCAGAAAAATGCATTAATAGTTAAAGAACTAACCACCAGTCTCTCCTTGAAATATTTCCTTCTTGTTTTGTTCTTTTCAAAAAATACTATACACATTTCTAGAAAAGGGTGGATAGTGTCTTTATTCAAAACTTGATCTGCTGATTCCAGTCTCCACTCCTCTAACAAAGTGATTACTTAAACACACCCATTTAAAGCACTAGAAGACATCTCACCAGTCTGTTAGCAGAAGTTCCCATAATTCTGTCAGTCATGGGCCTTCTTGCTTTGACAACTGTTTCTTGACTCAATACTAATATTAATATTATTAGTAATTAACTAATTTGTGCAGTTCTTAAGAAAGTTGTTCCAAAGTCTAGCAATATTTTAAATAGGTATATAGTTGTTAATAAGATGGGAAGTGGGGAGGGCAGAGCAGGCAAGGCAAGGAAAAGGAAAAATAAAAAAGGAAGAAGTAAAGGTCCAGAATAAGTGAACTGTATCACATATCTTAGTTTGGAAACTTGCAGATAGGAAGACAAAGAGCTTTTTCCCCTGCTTTGATTGCTTGTTGTACGCCAGCAAGGTAAACACGTGGAAAATGTAGATAGCTGTATGTGCTGCTTCTGAGTGATATCTCTGAAAATAATACAGCATTTGGAGTTCAGCTAAGTGTCAGTAAAAGGCCAAGCCACTTTACATTTTACAAGTGAACTGTGTCCCATTTCTACTAATAAAGGTGTGAGAGCCCCATTTAATAGCTTTTAATTCATCTGGATGCCTAGCAGATGCTTGAAGAATGTATAATTTAGTCATTTACATGGAAACCACTCTGCATACTCAAAGACCTTGTCACTCTGGGTAAAAAACATTGAAGAGCATTCATTTTTCATTAAGTCATACCACTACTAAAGCTTTATATTTGTTCATAAAAGTGAAATATGCTGCAGGCTGCCTGCACAACTCAAGAGTTGAGGCCAAGGAGCTGGAAAGGTTTGTTCTGTGATGAGATGAGAAAGAACAGTTATGCTGGGTGACTAAGAAGGAAGTGAGGTTAATAAACAGAATAGGGTGACTCACAGTAAATTTAATACTCAACATTTGCAACAACAGTGCTCTGTCTCCTTTTATCGGGAATATGCCACCTGCCTGGTCTGAAAAACCTCAATTCCTGATACTTAAAGCATTTCAATTTAAGAACCTAAACTAAGAGAAAAAGATTATGGTTGTGTGATGTCTACGCCATTTCCTAAGACATTTTTATGGTGAAAATTCAATCATGATATTGGATAAAATCCTTTGGAAATACTCAGAATTGCTGAAATACTTACACAGAGAAGAGTAGAAAAGTATCTTACAGTGACTAGGTTGCTATTGGTGTCCATGTTTCTGTAGGCAAGAGGGGCATCATTTTTGCTTTTCATCTGATTTTAAGATGGTTCATATAGACTAAATTAGCAGTTTGTGAAGCAGAATTATTCACTTGCTTATGTGATAGAACAGCCATCCCCATTGTCCTTATGTCTGTTGTATATGAGGACTCATAGCAAACTGTAGTGGAAATGCAAAGTCCCGGCGTGAACCAGTGACTGAGCACCTGGTGGGAAGGCAGGACCAACCCAGGGAAGCTCAGGTGCATGCAATGCTGCTGAGTGACCAGAAGGGGTGGATCCTAGCTCCACCCCTTCCCAGACCTCATGTAAGAGTTAGTAGTGGAGGCAAGAGTGTCTTGCTAGAGCTCCCTGCCTGAGACCTTCTAAAGGTAAGTAGCTTTTCTTCCTTTTATTCTATATCTCTGGCTGCTGTGTTTGGGCTCATCCTCACTTGCTGTAGCCTAGAACTTTGCTACCCTGCTGTCATTGTTGTGCTTTCTGTTGCACCATAGCGTTACAACATTGTATTATAGCGTTTCACAAGCAAAGCAAAAAAGAGGCAAGTAAATTGAGATTGCTCGACAAAGGTGACTCATGCTAGCTGCTGAAATATGGTAGCATGATGGTGGTGTGTTAATGAAACAGAAAAATCTTTTCGTTAAGAACAGCGGTTTTGAAATGTGAGACTGAAAAGTTTAACTTACGAAGAGAAAATAGCCTACTCCTTTTGGATGAATGAACATCATGGTATCTGAAGATTGTTCTGGATCCTATCTGCAACCTCTGCTCTGGGATGGTGCTCCAAGCAGAAGGTAGAATATACCAATTGACATGGAGACTTTTATCTAAATTGAGAGATTAGGGGTTCTGGCTTTATACTTGTTCTCAGACTTGCATTATCCATGAAATACAGCTCTGTACAGGGAGTACACTAATTTTCTAATACTCCATAAAAGTTTGTATGTATGTGGAGTAATTCCTATAAAGGAATGTCTAGACATTAAGGACCCTGCTATGATCATCACCAGGCTCAAGTTACAAGAGGTGCAAGAAGCTGCTGTAATCTGTCATCTGACTGATGCCTAGCTGTGTGCATGCGGGTGTGGCAAAAGACAGAGTGTCCAACTAACAAGCTCCGAAAGCCAACAAGAGTAAAAAGATGTAGAGTAAGCTGAAAACCATTAGAACTTCAACCTTGCCAAGGCTGGTAACTAGTAGCAGAAACTGCAGAAGAGTGGAAATCATGCTCATCTTTTCTCTGTCCTTTGTCCCTGTACAAAACTTCTTTCTGGCTTTCTCTCTTCTGCTTTTCCTTCCCTCTATGACTCTGGGACTCAGAGTGCCAGTGATCAGTAAATGTTCCTGAAATAGAAGGTGGAAGGAGAGGGGTAAGAAACAGTGTTCCTCATATGACAACTACACAAACTGGCATTCTTGCCCTCAATTAGAGGAAACAAAGGTGAGGTAATAGCAATACAAGTCACAGACTGAGGGCAGCAAACAGAAACGCTGTGTCAGAGATCTGAAGGAATTAAGACCACAGTGTTCTGCAACCATTGACTGAAGCTCTTGAGAACTGCACCCTCCAGTACTGATGAAGCTCCGAGCTCACTGAAGCCTCTGTTCCCAGCAGAAAATCACACTGTGGAGGCTTCTGCTCAAGAATGAAGGAAGAAATAAAGCATAAGTGTCAGATGTCTTAGGAGTCTTGGTAAAGAAGCCTAGATCTTCAGTACTACAAAAACTTATCAGTGAGTTTATGACAAGCAAGGAGTCATCTCCCTGTTGCTGAGGCACATGACAACTGCATGAAAAAGGTATGTGTCACTGAAATGAATTGAAAGGATGCTTTGGAAACCTCTTCAGCCTTAAAAACCATTGGGAAATCCTCTTTACTCTTAATGGGGTGACAACCCCTCATGTAAGAGCTCAGACTTAAATCTATCAGTGCACATTAATTTACAGTGAAGTACAGGAATAAATTCATACACTCTGATAAGACAGACTTTGCCTCATTCACATACGCATGGAGCAGAAGGGCGGACTTTGAGTCACGGTGGGGAAGACACCCTAAAAGAGAAGAGCTAAAAATACCACCTGTGATTCCCTACCCACGGTCAGTCAGCCCAATGTCCTCTGATAGTACGTTCAGACCTTCTAGGAAATGCATCATCACTAGGCAGATTTGATAGTGAATTGAGCTACTGAAGAGATCTTTGGCCAATGCTGCTGTGCAAACTTAATCCTGTCATAGCATTTTGCACCCTGAAATTCTTCTGCATGCATATGATATTTCAGAGTGAGGCACTGTTAGAATGCATTCCTAATATACAGCCTTGACACATTACTATGCAGATGAGTTTCCTATGGTGAGTTGATATTGCTTAAGCATACTCCCCACTTAAGATAGGGATATAGAGAGACATCTGCTTGTCTAGATAGAGTCTGAACGTGAAATAGCACTGCTACTGTCTGGGAGAGTTTAAAACTGTGTGACTCTAACCTACTTACAGATTTACATACTTACTCATAGTAGAAGTTGAACATTTTTGTGATGCATTTGGAGTCTGTCATAAGAAGTCATGCAAATAGATACAACTGTGGATAATCCAGATCTCACAGCTGTAGCTGGATGAACCTATGTCAGACTTCTCATTAATTCCTAGTTTTAGCAACTGGCTACTCAGGACACAGTTGACTTGTCCTCTGGGAACTTGGATATTGGACATGGAGCAGGCAAGACTTGAACACCTTCACGATGAAACCCTGAAAATCAAAATGATGAAGAAAAATTGATACCTCTTATAGGGTGCTCACTTCCTCTACAGAAAAGAAAAAATATTCACTTTAAAGTGGAGCAACTTTAACCTTCATTCATTTGGTGTCAATTCTGAATTTGGTATTGCATGTAAAAGTGTTTTAAACCCAGTTTCTTGCTTGAGGCAACACCTGCAATGACAACCTCTTCAATTTTTTAATTTTGTCATTCTGTTTTCCTAAACTGGGAAGATGATGGGGCAAGGTATAGTTCAGAACAGAACTGAAAGCTGTAATTGTCAAAAATTCTGTCCAGCACCCAGGGTCCTGCATGTTGTTTCAGGCTACAGTTGAGCTTAAAGAGCCTATTTCCAAAGAGGCAGAGGTAAACTTATTGAGACAGATTGTCCTACAGTTCCTTGCACGCCCTCCAACAGGTTGTGCAAAGGCTTGAATGCACAGCAAAATGATGAATGTGCCTACCTCAGGAGTCTCTGCTCTTTTGTGACAATGCTAATAGAGATAAATAGTCATACTAGATTAGATACTAATCTGAAAAGCTGGAAGCAAAAATTGTGTCTTGTCTTGTATTTTCTAGAATGTAGGAACCAGCCCTGAAATCTAGTCCTGGAAAAACAGGGGATGACTTCACCTTTCCGCTTAACAAAAGCAAGCTTCCTCAGGTCTTTGGCCCCAGCTAGTTATGGGATGAATTGGGATAATGCTTAACCTGAAACAATTGCAACTACTTTGCTTCATGTTGTTCCATGCTAAGACTGCTGAGAGGGGAAATTCAGAGGTCAGGATGATTTCCATTCATTTAAAATGGTGATGCGAGACTTAACATGGCATAAGCCCACACAAACTTCAGCTGTGCAACTCATCCCTCAGATAGGGCGGGTCAACAGTTCCCTTGTTGAAAATGTCAAATGTCAAACTGAAAAGTAACCAAGGCACACCCATAGTTTACCTCCAGGAAAACCTTTGATTCCAGCCCTAAAATATTTTCAGCCATTTGTCCCTGAGCAGTACTTGAACTTCATGGAGAAATACTGAGCTGAACTCCGGGATCAGCATGCACATCATAAAGTTTGTAATAAAAGTGCTGTTCTCCAAAGGCTAAGATGACAAATCATCATCTGAAAAGCACAGAACACAACCTGAGGAGTAGCAAAGTGCCCTGAGAACCTTGGAGAGAGATGGAGGTAGAAAGTTGTTGGGTATTTTTTTTTTTTTTTTTTTTTTTTTTTTTCCTCAAATAGCATGAGAGTGAGTTACTTGTATCTGAAGAGAGGTCTCAAACCTGTGTTGAACAATCCAGAATGCTTGGCCATAAGCTCCCCTTACCCTAAAAGCAGATGAAGTAACAACAGATCTGCTTCAGCAGTAATGCAGAGCTCCAAGGTTAACTACAGTACATTAGCAAAAGGCATTAGTTTTGCATCTGAGTTACTGTGGTTAACTTAAGCCTGCTGAAACTGTGTAAACCACTGTCTTCTAATGTCATCTCAGACAGACCACCGTCACACTGCATAGCTATCAAAAACTTCCTTGTAGGCCAGGTGTTGAGAAATTTTCAACTTCTCCAGCTCTGATTACAAGACAGGTGAGCAATCAGCAACAAAAGCAAACTTCATTAATTTTACAAACAGGTCCACCCTTAAGAATGTGGAATCTTTATGGAAATTGCACTTTCCAAATCTAAAAAGCATTTCTTCGTTGGGAAAGATTACATAAAAATCTAACTTTTACTGATAACTACAAGGAGAGAAAGTATATGCAAATATAATAAGCTTATTTATCAATTTAGTTAGCTTACCTTTTTTTTTAAAAAAAAAAAAAAACTAATTTCTGAGGGCAAACATTTACAAAGTTAGAAAATGCAACTCTTTCACACCCTGCTGCCCTCCTCTTCTGCTTCTCTGTTGTCTTTCCCTGTTGGAGTCTATCTCTGCCCTTCATACTTTCCTTTCAGCTCCTGCTTCCTAACATTCCCAGATATTTTCCTTCATGCTTGTAATAGTTCAAAGCCTTTTATATTGCCTGTCAGGCAAAAACACCAGTAGTACATGAGAAGACACTTCAGCCTAACACTTCCTGTTATGGCGGCCTCCAGAAAAATAATGCTACAGAGCTACTGGAAATAAGTTATGGAATTGAGAAATGCAGGCATGAAAGCATCAGGATTATTCTTCAGCATGCTGCCTCTAAAAGTAAATTTATTTCCTACTTTTTTCTACAGGTGACTTTCTATGTATATCATTAGCAAATGGATTTATACAGCTGCGCTACAATCTTGGAGACAAAACAATTGTCCTACAGGCTATTCAGAAGGTCCATGCTGATGGGCAGACCTGGCATGTACTCAGAGTAGGAAGAGTTGGTAATGAAGGCTACCTGGATCTGGATGGTATCAATGTTACCCACACAGCCAGTGCTGGGATGAATGTGCTGGACACACGCACAGATTTTTACGTTGGAGGGGTATCCTCTCTAAATCTTGTGAATTCAATGGCAACAGAAAACGAACCCACAGGTTTCAGTGGCTGCATACGAGAGGTTGTTATAAATGACAAAGAACTGAAGCTGACTGCGACGGATCCCAAAGGTGGAGCCAATATTGGAGACTGTGACGGAACCGCCTGTGGATATTCAGTGTGCAAAAACAATGGAACATGCCAAGTTGAAAGCTCAGGCTTTTCTTGTTCCTGCCCACAAGGATGGATAGGGAACACGTGTGAAGAGTCTGTTCACTGCTTGCAGAACAGATGTAGGCCGCAAGCTCTCTGTATTCCCCAGCCCACTTTGCTTTCATACACCTGTGTATGTGCACTAGGCTGGTCAGGTAAGCACTGTGACAGCAAAATCAGCTTTTTCACAGCAAAGTTTGTTGGTAATTCCTACATCAAATACATAGATCCCCTTTATGGAAAAAGAGACCTCCAGTATAGCCGTATTTCTTTAAACTTTACTACCAATCAAATTGAGGGCTTAATGGTGTGGCTGGGAAAAGCTGAAGATGAAGACAATGATTTCCTTGCCATTGGCCTCGCCAATGGAACATTAAAAGTTGTGATTAATCTTGGAGAAAGAATCTCTGTTCCAATGATTCAGAGCAAAGATTCCACCTGTTCTGATGAAAGATGGCATTTTGTTACTGTAATTCAAAATCAAACATGTGTGAAGGTATATCTTGATGAGGAGCTAATTATTTTTGAAGATATTGATCCACACAGAAAATACACTGCTTTAAACTATGGTGGAATTTGTTATTTCGGTGGATTTGAAATTGGCAGAGAAGTCCATACGGTCACTGTAGGGCTGTTTCAGAAGAAGTTCATTGGTAAAATGAAAGATATTGCACTCTTCCAAGATTCTAGAAAAATTCAGCTCATGAAAGGAGAAGGTTATAATGTTCATAATGGAGATCATAGAAATTAATTGAAGAACTAATTAAGATTCCTTGAAAGTGTTGCATTTCATTTTTGTACTGCCTCTTGTATTAAACTGACAACCTAGAATTTGTGTACAAAAATAAGTGAAATAGTTCCTAATCCTTTTTCTGTTTTAATGATGGGTATTAATAATATATGTAAAATGTGGCCAGAATTTTTAATTTACTCCTATTTATATATACTCTTTAGTATTTATTTTAAAATAATGAAGTCTGATTTTTTTTTTTTCTTTTTGTTAATCAGCTGGAGATAATTTTGTATTTTGTAGATGGATGGTTGTCAATCTAATATTGTTTGTGGACAAGGACAACTTAGTTTTGGAGAAAAAGCTACATTTTATCAGTATGCACAGCTTCTTTTCTAATGTTGCAGTTTTATGATTAAGAGTAACATCTGACACTTGTAGGTGGAAAAAACATATATCTGGGGTTAAACATGCATGTTTATAAAAATAACATTTGTATTTACTTACTAAATCCACAAAGACTCTATTTCAGCTAATGAAGTTGCTCTCTCTAACTTCTGAGTTGCTATCCATTACATAAATACTTATGTAAAAAAGCAAAACTTGATACTGTTTTCATGCTAAAATATTATGTTTAAAATCATTGTCTTTTAGAGGCAAAAAGAAAAGGTATTTTAATTATTGAGCACAAAAACAAGCTCATGTACACTCAGGCATAAAAACAGCCCACTGTTTCTCTCCATCAGGGGTCTCCCAAGTTTGAGCACAGAATAATGTGTCTCAGCCAGAATTTGGGACAGTTGGCTGTCTGCCTACAAGTAACTTCTCTTACTAACAGCTTTTTTGTCAAGCAACTGCTCTGCTTTAGCTATATACTTCTTTTATCCCTCTAAATGAGATTTTAAAATTTTACTAGACAAATTCTTAGTCACTGTGAATTGAATTTCTGTGACTACATTTCATGCATTTTTAATCTCAAAAGTAAATAGAGTTCTTCAATAAATAAAAAAGTTTTATTCCTTCTGAAAAAGCTGTTATACTCTACACTTCAGTCACCAATAAAAACCAATGAAGTTATATCTTAATCTGCTTAAACATAAGATTTGTGATGGCATTTATTTCTCATTTGACTGCTGAATTGCTGTATAAATAAAATACACAGAAATAATAGTACTGAATTGCTTTTTTTTTTTTTAACTTTACTGTGTGAACACGTGCTCAAAAGCACATGATCTACCATCACTTTCTTATGCTGAAAGGACGTCCACAGTGGGTACTGATCAGGAACAAGCAACTATTTCTGATTTGTTTCCTCCCTTCTGTAAAGCAGGTCAGGAACAGAGACAACAGGCACAGCAAAACCAGGTGACACATGTCACTTTCCACATAACCAGATGGCAAGAAACTTGTTGCCAACAGTTAAGGATGACTCAGAGATGAGCTGAGGGGCAAGGACATAGAGCTGTCACAAGCTGTTTTAATAGGGATTTGCAAACATCTAGTCGAGGTTCTTCCTATCCTTTTAAGCTGCTCTGAACCTTTAAGCAATCAGCCTGATACAGCAGAGCTTTCTTCCCCCCTATCCAACAAGTTAACGACAGCTCTCAAAGCCTACTTGGCATTAGAGCTGGCTCCAGATTCTTGTCTTCATTTCTCTTAGAAGGGCCTTTTATGGCCATGTGATGCTGGGGAAGGGAGCGTCTTCAGATTTATTCCATTCACTCTAGGGTTCCTGGTGTACTGCCAGTTCAGTGTACAGCAAGCAACCCGAGCACTCCTGACAATTACCAACATTAGAAGAGTGACTGAAGATGTGGGGAAGGCAGCAACCCCTTACTCCTGCAGCAGTGGGGTTCATTCCCATTACATAGCTCAGATTCCAGGACCAAATTCTGTCAGATGTTTCTGTCTGTTAATTTAAAATCTTAATAAAACTCTTCCAGTAGAGATGTTCTCCTCTGGCTCTCCAAAGGGCAGATAGTAAAGCACTAGCTAAATCTGAAAAACGTTTATATATTCATTCCAAATAAATATTTCTGGTAACTGTGACAGAAAACATTCCCATCTCAGCTAACAGGGGCAATTTTCAGTGATAACAGTTTATTTTCAGAGCTCTTCTGGACAGGTCAAAAGGAAAATCTTGACAAGCAGAGCTACTGATTTAAAACTGATTTCAAAACCAAAAACAGGTTTCATTATTTTTTTTATATATTAAAAACCCTGATGTAAATATTTGCACAACCCACGCACATATTAATGCCAAATATATAAACCATGGAATTAATTAATTTGGAAAAACTAGTATCATTTTATTACACAACGAAACTTGTCAGGTTAACTACTGCTTTGTTTACAAAAGGATTTCTTGCTTAAGAATCTCAACTATGCGGCTGAGAAACATTACTGAATAAAAGTCTGCCACCTCTTCATTTGGTGCAAGGTTTTTATTTTAGTCAATTTGACTGTGAAGCTACTTATATGTAGGATATTGAAAGGAAATTTTACTTTAAAATACATTAAAATTAGCAAATATTATTAGTGTGGTGTTAAACTTGAAAGATCTTCTCAGAAAGAAGAGGCTGTTCTACAGCAAAGTGCAAAATGCCATGTCCATACAGAAGGTAATGTACTCAAAGTAAAAAAACAAACAAACAAACAAACAAAAAAAACAGAATACTGAAAAATAGAACAATAAACCTCATTTTTGGTTTACATAGTGGAATGTTTGTTGCTAACTGACTCAGCAAAATGACAGGTGTATTCTGAGAAAGGTAAGGGCAGGAGATTTCAGCTCGTCCTCAGGTTTTCTTTTTGGGCTTTTTGTTTTGCAGTGGAATGGCTGTCACTATTAGGAATCAATTTACTGCAAGTCCCAGTGGGACAAACATTCCTCTACCTTCTTCCCCTCTATTTGCTCCTTCGGAACTCAGAACAGCGTAGCCATGAAATGTAAAATACATTTCTACACTTCTACATTCTACACCTTAGCCTTCTAGATTCTTTCAACCTACAGTTTCACACCTATGAAATCAAACACACACAGTATGTGAGAAAGTTTTATCATTTTAGAATCAAAATATCCCTTAAAATATTTACATTTTACAGTAAAAAGGATAGCAAAACACAAAGTAATGTACAAGCTCAGGTATTCAAGTTTTTGAAGCATGGAAAATGGTTGGAAAAATGAATCAACTACTACAAAACATATTTTCAAGAACTTAGGTTAAAAATGCTTCCTTATTTAAACAAGTGCAGTTTAAAGCAATAACATTCGAGCAGCTCAGCCTTCCAATTTCTGGTCACAGACTGCTTTAGATGCTTAGGAAATACTTGAAAAACCGATGAAATACACTTGAATTACTTTATTGTACTACTGAATAATTTAAAAAACTCTTCACACCATCAAGCATGTTATGTTTTGTTGTAGCATGTGTGGATTCTGAGGTCTTGCTGGAGTCCTTAAAAACAGTGCAATTTACAAAGAAGGTTATTGTATTAAAGTAATCTTTAAAATTATCCGAGCATCTTAAAACAGGAGAGAGCACAAATTACCAAAGGCAACTATATTGCAGACATGACTAAAGCCAGCTTTATCAGCTAAGAAAATTTCTAAGCCTTTATTGCATATTAATAAAAGAAATCTTTAAAATTTTGAATATACAGCAATGTAAATTTTTAAAAAATATTAAACTCCTACTTCTAGCAACAGTTGGTATAATGAAAAAAAGGATGAGTATTGGTACACCGAGTAGTACCAAAACACAGACTTGTTTCTGCAAAACACCAAGACTGAATAAAAAAGATGGCACAATCCTAGCAGGCTGTTGGTTGGTTGTTTTGTTTTTTTTTTTAATAGAAAGTTTTACTACATAACTCTGATGGTTTACTTAAATAGGATTTTAAAAAGACTGCCTGCATCTTTTTACCTTTTGCTTTTAGATCTGTCACTGTGGTCCCTGTGTCTGTCTCTACTCTTTTCACTTTCTCGCTCTCTATGTTTCTCTTTACTTTTCTCCCTCTCTTTATCTTTTTCTTGAGCCTTTTCTTCTTCAGGTTTGGGCTTCTCTGTCTTTTTTTCTGGGTTTCTAGTCTCTCTGGGGCTTTTTCCATCAGCACCCCTATCACTGTGAGGAAGTCGCAACCTTTCTTTGTCTCTATGTCCCTCCTCTCTACTCTTCCTCTCTCTCTCCTTTTCCTGGTTTCTGTCTCTGCGTCTATTTCTTTCAGAATCTTGTTCCCAGTATTTTTCATTGTTCCACTCTTTTTCATGTCTGTCTTTCTTTTGGTGGTGAGAGTCACTATAAAATCTTTGTCTTTGTTGGTCGTTTTTTCCTCTACTGAACCCTCTCTCCAAATGCTGCTCCTGTCTGCCCCAAGGATCACTATGACGCCTTTCTGGTCTCCTAGTGTCTTTACTCTGGAAAAAATTTTCTGGCCCCACAAATCTTGACTGTTTGTGAGCCACTGGTAGCCCTTGTGCAATGGGTCCAGCATAGGGTGGTGGCTGACCGGATAAATGACCTACAGGTGGCCATGGCATCTTTGGATTCTGAGGAAAGCCAAAGCCTGGAGGAGGAAGAAGTTGAGGTGGCAAATGAGGAGGGAATCCAAACATAGGGCTGTTTTGTGGAGGGAAGTTAGGAGGTGCAGGAGCTTGAAACTGAAATCCAGGTGGATTAGATTTAGGATGCTGGAAATTCGGTTGTGGAGGTCTAACAGATGAGAAGCTGCCACTTGTTACCGGGCTTGGAACTTTGGAAACAAATTCAGAACAAGAAGAATTTTCTGTTTCAAAATGAGATGAAGTTGCTGCTGGTCCTATTCTAAATGAGTTCAGAGACTCAATGTTTTGCATTGCATCTTCTTGTGACTGTTTGGTATCTTCTGCTTGCGATGCACATGCGTTATCCGCTTTTGTTGTGGTTGAACTATACTGCATCTCATTTGTTTGTGCATCATTTGGATACAGGTTTAAGCCTGTATCACCAGAAGACTGTTTATTCTCTGGTTCCATTTGATCATTTCCTGAAGCAACCTGTTGGTCTTCATTTTTACTAACATCCCCTTCCTTGTTTTCTGAAGCATTAGTCTGCTGATTTCGCCCAGCTGCCTGTCGAGGGTCTCTTTTAAGATTAATAAATGGTGGTGATTTAGAGGTATTACTAGTAGTGCCTTCAGTAGAACTTACATTAGTGTTGTTCTCAGTATTTTTCCCTGCATTTGATGAAGAAGAAAAGTTGGAATTTGTGGTCCTTCTAATTTCCTGTGTGACATTATCCTTGTCAGGTGTCTGCCGCTTTGAATCATTTTCTTTACTTTCTTCAGTTTCTTTATTCTGTGACTGAGCAGATACATTTGCTAGAAATGCTTCGGTGGAGACATCAAGAGGTTTTCCCTTAAGATTAAGTCCTATCAAAGTTCCAGCATTTCTTGTAGAACTTGAGGACCCTGTAATTGCTGCATCTGCAGGTCCAACAGTAGCATTAGCAGACTCTTGTGTATCATCTGAACTAGCCTTTGTTTCACTAACTTCAGCAGTTACTTCATCAACATCCATGTTTTCTTCTTTTAAGGTTGCTTGCTCATTTAATAAAGGTATATCTTCATCAGGACTTGCTTCTGGCTTACTTTGTTCACATACCTGCCCTGTCGTACCCAAAAGGCTTTGAAGAATATCATCCACTGGCAGTGGTTTATTTGCTAGCTCCAAAGTAGAAGGCTGATTCTCCCACCCAACTAGAACACCAGGAAGAAATCTGAGAGGCTTTGGTGGTTCATGCTTGTTACTTTCCACCAATGGTTCAATAACTGCTGGAACATCTTCTGTATTAGATGGTTGAGGTTTATTTCTCTGTTTGTGTAGCACAGTTGTGAAAGAATTAAAAAAATCATTTTCCTCTTCTTCTTCTAGTGCCAATTCATTATGAGAGACTTCAGGTTTGCTTGGCTTGCTTTTCTTTTCTGGTGGCACACTACTCAAGGTACTTTCAGAAACTTCATCCACAAAACTACTAGTAACACTTGTAACAGCAGAAATCTGTCTCTTCATTTTCTGGCGGATTATCAATCCCAGTAATAAATTTGGTCGATGAATTTCAATCCCTGCACAAAATTGTAACAGCAATGTATTAACTACTTGTGCTTTGGTTAAAGTAATCAGTTTTAACAAAAATAAATTACATGCTCTTATAATGTATTACAGAAATTCTTCATTTTAAGACATTTGAGATTTCCATCATCACCCCCTATAACTTCTAAATACAGAATACAAGACTTATATAGGATATCTAGTTTTAAAAGAAAAAAAAAGTTAAACAACTTGTGTTAGTCTAAGAGAGTTACTCTCTAATAACAGTGATAGAGAAGCACAAGAGGAACAACAATGTTAATAAAACACTAACACCTACAAGTCCCAAAATCAATCTGTGTTAGACAGATTTCTTCAAAGATTTACCCATGAGTGACTTTCCAAATGCTTTCATCGTTCCAGAAAGGTACTGTGTTTCAAGACATACTACTATCTCTCTCTTCACTATGCATTTTGTTTTGTCTAAACTAGGTTCTCACAAAGAGAATTAGGATTTGTAGCTAATCCTGTATTAGTTTCATCCTATGTAAAATGAAATCATCCATCTTTTTTTTTTTTTTTTATATATAATCAAAATAAATTGACACAAAAAAAATCAGGCTTAAGAAGCAGCTCCAGTCATTTCTGGAGCTTTTTATTTCTTACTCATTTTTTTTCAGAACCTCCAATGTCCATCCTTCTTGGTTTTTTTCCTTCTTTAAAAAGCTTGGGATGCTCAAGTTTAAAAAAAGTTAATAGATTTCAAATAAAAAAAACCCAGAAAAATACTGTTTTTAAGTTACAGTATCAATTTGGAACTCAGTAGGATTACTACTATAGGCGACTTGCACCAGTGAATTTTCTGAGATTGTAAACACAAAAAACCTATGTTCAAAGTAATATTTTCAATGACACTTAAAAAAATCAGAATGATCTTACAATTGAAAATTAATGTCTTCTCAAGGAAGTTAATAAAACACTATGGAAAAATCGTGACTTGTTTGAACAGAATGACTTATTTTCTATAACATCATTAATTGCCTTTTAAAATTTAATTCCCTCTACTGTTATAAGCTTCTACATGAAGTGCTATGATAATAAAGTTCCATGCTGTACTTACCAGGCCCATCAAAAGGCACGAGATGATGTGGGACTTTATCTGAGGAACCTAATGGGATGAGATACAAATCTTTGACTTGCTTCATGTTATTGGCAGCTACACCATAACGTTTTCTACTGCTGAAATAAGCAAATAATAAAGCATAGGATATCTGATCCTCTTCAGTTACAGGGGTAAAGCGAACTACGCAGATTTCCTGTTAACAAAAAGAGAAATAAAAGATCATACATACATTTCTCATGAAATTTCAACTGTTTTAGTTACTGTTCTTTATTTAAAAGCATAGTTCAAAGATGAGAAAGAGCCTCCCCAAAAATGCAGAGAAAACAAGGAGCAGAAACAGTGTCAAAAGTAATTAAGGAAAATGGAAAAGATAAATAAAAAATGTTCAGTAGTTTAAAAAAAAGTGCTTTACAACTCATGACAAAAAGTCATCCTTTTATCAGCCTACTAAATAAGAAGTTTACTTGGAAGCTGGTATGCTTCCCTAGATTATTCCCCTCTCTACCCATAACATTGCTAGGAAGATTTACCTTGTATAGTCTACTATGTCTAAAATAATATCTAATACTAAAGGAAAATGAGTATCCAAATCCCAGAATAACACCCAAGGCCCAGTTCAGCAGTTGATGCTGGGGATGATCCTATTAAATGGTTTGATCAATTTATGAGCTGGAACACAGAACAGAAGACTGCAAAACTGAGATGACACCAGTTAGTACATGGGTTGATATGCTGAAGAGCAAGTTGCTATTCCAAGGGGCTGACCTCATGAAGGTGAGCTGAAGTAAGTGAAGAAATCCTGCACCTCTGTATGAAATATCTCCAGTAATCAGGACCGTCTACAAGGCTTACTGGCTAACTTGGCATAAAAGGATGTGCAGGTCCTGGTGGGCTTACATTGAATATAAGTAATACAGTAATGCAACTGGGCTTTAAAGAAGGCCAACTGCATCTTTGGTGTCAGAACCACAGCAGATCAATGGAAACAATCATCCCCTTCTATTCAGTACTTTTGAGAAAGCAGTGTCTAGTTTGGGGCTCCTCAACACAATGATAATTTGCACACTGCAGTACAAGTCTACCTTGGGCAACCAAGGTGGATTTACATACTCTGACAATACAGAAACAAGAAAATAGTACTTCTGACATGTCAAGCTGTCTTCAAATATGCATTTCTCTCCAACAAATACGTGTGCTCTCAAACAATACATGAGAGATTAAGGTTAGATAAAAAATTCCACAAGCTGCCAGCCATCCCATTTAACATAACTATCAGTTTTATCCTTGAATTGTGACATATCTTGCAGATGTTCCAGGAAAATAAGATATACAGAGTAAACAGAATGTATGTTAAACAGCAAGCACTATGTAGAATTTCTTACCTTGGTCCCTGAGGCTTTGATTTTTTCTACATACTCCCAGACAGTGTGAGGGGATATCCTGCCACCTACCTGAATACTATCAGGTAAATCCTATGAAAAAGGAAATCAAAAATCTGAATCAAACATATCTATTTTATATATTCAAAACATTCTTAATTATTAAAGTTCTTAACTACTAATTTTAAAAGTCAGAAGTTACAACAGTAGAAAAAATAACTTAGAAAATTAATTAAATTCAGATTTTGGATATTTCTATTAGGATTTTCAGAGCAAAATCAATTAGTACTAAATTAGTTATCACTCAAAGCTGTTCATATACACCTTCCTCCAAAACAGTTCACCACAGTAACAAAATTGAACTCCACTCCAGAAATACTCAAGTTTCATTAATGATTAAGCTGTTATGAGAGTTGCACACCTAAAGGGAAATATAATAAGCTTTTAAAATTTAAATAATGAGAAAATATATAGCCTACACACTTATGTACATAGAAGAAAAATTGTTCTTAGATACTAACTGAACTCAGTTTTGTTAATGGCATAAACAGACATCCAGAATAACTGCAGAACTTAGGAAAATGAGTTGTTTTGAAATAAAGCAGAAGAATTATACTAAGTACACTCTATTTTTAAAACAATCCTTTAACATCAAGAGGTAATATGTGATCTGCAAATGACTGAGGATTTACAGTAAAATTAAGATAAGCACATTAATAGAAGACCTAACACTATTTAATTAGAAGGCTGACACATCCTGCGTCACTTGGTGAGAAGTAATACTGAGCCTTACATGCTCTTTGATCTTTACTTTATGCTGCAGTGACAACTGTTACAAGTAGTTGCATCCTTTTCCTGCCTCTCAGAGCCTGAACAGAATACTAAGTAAACATTTTTAAGGTTAATTTAGCCTTACAAGGGCTGTAATTGCACCAGATTAGAAAAAAAAAATCCAAATCTTGTTACAAACATTTCTATTCTAGAAAAAAAGACTGCTCATAATGTTAACAGAAATCTCCAATAGACACTTTCTTACAAAAATTGATGCTGACTTGTTTAATGCTTTCAATTCAAAGGGAAGATTTCATTTCCTCACCTGTAATTCAGAAAATGGATGCCACTGAGATGATTATTTCTGTAATAAATTTTGTCCTAAGTTTCCTAACACAGAAGATGTTTTACAGCAAACTAGAAACAGTTGAATGTTTGCAAAATTATCTCAATAGAAACTGCTATTCATTCTCAAGAAAGATGAGAGAAAAACACCTTTAAATACATTGGAGAACTTGAATCCTGCTGAATCATGGGTTCACTTAGGGCAAACTGAAAAATATTTACTTACACAGATAAACTCTGCCTACCTTCTTTCCTCCTGCAAGCACTGTGTTCAGTATAATCACATTTCATTGTCTTTTATCATTATACTACCATTAGCCTATATGGTAAATAAGTCACTAAAGTTCACAAAAGAATTGTCCACTCTTTGCAATATATGTAAGTACCTCTGTTAAATACTCAAAGGAGCCAGAAACTGGATAAGCCTTGATAACGAACTTTGCCACGGAAGGCATGTTGATGAAACCCTTCCAGATGAAATTCAGGCGTGCCAGAAACAGACTTTCACATTCTACAGTACCAGGTGTTTCCGATCTTAAAAAAATAAAAGACAAAACCACTTTGTTTAGAGCATGACATGTAAATCGTCACCTTTCTTCATAAAATAAGATCATTAAGAATTTTATTTTTCAGTTAAGAATACTTGAGAGTATAAGAAAACACACAAGCAGACAAGCCTACTGTTCCTCATCTTCCAGGGTAGAAGAAGATATTTCTCACATGAAGAGCCATTAGATAAACAGCATATTAGCTCAGTATTAGTACTGTATTTTTGGAGCCTGCAGAAATTATTTTTTCCAAGAACTAAAAAATGGTACCAAAGGAGACAGAGAGACATGTACAGTGCTGCTAGACCCATTGAGATCTATCTTCCCCCTGCAACATGTAGGGAAGGAGAAGACAGCATGTGAATTGCTGGCCTGTCTTCACCCTGCTTTCCTAGCTCCTACTTCTTGTTGCAACACTGACCACCAGTTACAGATACACTGCCTGGCCAGCTAGCTGCTCTCATCCAGGCATCACTTCCACTGGCTCAGTCAGCACCTCTTCTCAATTCCAACATCATTACCCATACAAAGCAACTTTACCGCCTCACACTTGAAAAAACAAAACAAAACAACAACAACAACAAAACAGCAACTATAGCACAGCAACTGCAAAAAATAAACTGAAAGACTTAAATAATTTCATAGAAAATCGTTTCTCAGCCTGGGAGCTTCTTCACAGAAAATAATACAGCTACATTTTAACACTTCTGAACCCATTAAAAAAAAAATATTTTAGGCATGCTACTAGCACTGTTTATCAGTCACTCACTAGTAACAAAAGCTGTGCTGTGTAGTAACACAATAAGCTGTTTCATGCTGTTCTACACTAAAAATTATTTCTTTGAATCTTCAGCAAACCATTCTAAAACCAAAGTCCTGTGTCCTTGGTGAAGGATCATGTCCTGATAAAGGTTGCATTCCTGGACTATGGTCAATTCTAAACAAATGAGTCAGTGTTTTTCTAGAAACCTGTCTCCAAGACCAGAAAAATTATCCTCATAATTGCAATTTAGAAGAGAGTAAAGGTTGAAAGGAAGAAAATGAAGAGAGTTCACAGCAACATCCGTACTAGATCAACTAGATCAACATTATACATATCCATACAAGCACATATCCACCTTCAATAAAGTAATCTATCTTCCTTGAAAGGAACTATGAGAATCAGAGGTTTGTAGTCACTACACAAGTAGCATTATTTATACAAATACACAGCAGCAAGCAATTAGCCCCATTCCTAAGAAGAGGCGTACAACCTCCATTATATGAAATTACGAAATGCTATAAAAACAACTAAAATTAATCATAATAATTTAACATGAGAAATAATGTGTTTCACTTAAAAATACTGTTTCTTAAGTTTATATTACTTTGGAAGAGGCGGGAATGACGATTTTGATGAGTCTTGCTTATCATCTTCCAGTAATTCTGAAGCTAAAATACAGGATGTAGAAGAAAGCGCATCTGCAATGCTCTCTGCTTCATTGTCTGACTGCTTCCGTGCAACTCCAACAGACACTTTCACTTTTTTTGCAGAAAGATCATCATCAGTAGGTGGTGCCATTCGACCTGCAGAGATGAATTACAATATTTTGAATATGTTTTGTTTTGTAATTGGGAAAAAAAAAAACAAACAAAAAAGCTAAGAGAATTTCCTTAGAAAACATGGAAGATGTTATTGCCATTGTAGTGCGATAGGATAAATACAGTAGGTGTCAACAATAATACATGCAATCATTAAAAAGATTTATCTGTCTACATTTTATAAATAGAAGGCGACTATCATTTTAAAATCGTAAAACTCTGCTGCCACATCTTTGTCTGCAAACTGAGAATAAAAATATGTTTTTGTCACCTATGCAGATTTTGCAGTTAAGATCAAAGAGATGATTTTTGTGTTGACTTGTGGTGTCTGGAGATGCAGATTCGTTTCCTTCTTTATCTTTCTCAGCTTCCTCTGACTTCTCATGCAACTTCATCGTATTAGGTTCCTAAGGAAAGTCAAAACATCTCAGGTTTTTTCTTCTGTTAATATTCCTAATGTCACTATTTGTACTGCTTCTATTTATTTATAGTACTTTCTTCCTTTCAGACATAATGGCTGTTTACAAGGGTGCATAGTGATAGGACAAGGGGGAATGATTTTAAACTGAGACAAGGGAGGTTTAGGTTAGCTATTAGGAGGAAGTTTTTCACACAGAGGGTGGTGACGCACTGGAACAGGTTGCCCAAGGAGGTTGTGGATGCCCCATCGCTGGAGGCATTCAAGACCAGGCTGGATGTGGCTCTGGGCAGCCTGGTCTGGTGGTTGGCGACCCTGCACATAGCAGGGGGTTGAAACCACATGATCATTGTGATCCTTTTCAACCCAGGCCATTCTATGATTCTATAATAAAATTTTCCCTTTGAGTCTACGGCTTTGAGGCTATAAAGCCTCTGTAACTTGAAAGGCTATGACAAAACCTACAAAAATTCATTAAAATAGTGAATAGGTATTCCCAAATATATTTTACATAAGATTTAGAGTATTTTCTGCTGTATTCATTAATTAATCTGAAACAAACAAACAAACAAACAAACAACAACAACAACAAAAAAAACCCACCAGGCCTCTAAGTCAAAGGCAAGATGAAAGAAGAATTAAAACAGAACTAACAAGTAATCAGACTTACAACCACGTTATCTATGAACCAAATGTGCTGTTTCTCTTTCCTACCTGAATTTCCATAACTTCTTGTTCTTTCATTGGTGTCTCGCTTTCAATTTCAATTTCGCCTTTGTGAGTAATTTTTGTGATAGGTCTTCTTTCAACTTCCCTCTGTTCTTTCTCAATCATTTCAATTGTCTGTAAAAACAAGTTATACTATTTATTTGTTTCCATATAATAAAATTTGGAACTCAGCATATGTAATACATAAAATAAGGACTGTAATCAAGGACCTCTCCGTGAATAAAAGAGTATATTCTTATTTTACAAGTGTTAAGCAGTTTCTTCAAGGAAAAACACAAGAACTTCATCTAACTTCACTTAAAATACAAGAATAAGGAAACTGTAAAGTAGACCTTGAACACTGAATTTAAGTACAAGTAATCCACATTTTCCTAAAGAAAAATTTATTAACTTTTTTCCATAATAATAGGAAATATATAGGGGATAATGTAGGACATAAATACACCTAGATTTATGTAATTTTTCAAGAGCTTGATCTTGAGTACATAAATCTAATAATGTTCTTCCTCAAGAAAAAACATTAAATATATTCTTCCAGTAATGCATATGCTAATTCTCATCAGGACTGCTACTTGTCTCCATTGAAAAAAGGTAAACACCATTAGTTCTGAAATTGCTTCTTAAAGCACATCTCTACTTCTGAATCCAGAAACAGTTTGTATGGGCTGTTCCCAAATCTACTATATGTCATGGTATCTACTCATTTATTTATTTTCATTGGAAATCATCCAACATAACTAACAATTTCTAGTGCCATAAAACCCGAACATAAAACGTATATCCCAATCAACCCTATCCAAATTTTTTGCCTTTCAGTCCTATATATTGGCACATAAATATTAAAGATTCTCTCCAACACAAATCCAGATTTTGTAAATTAGACATCTTGATGCTCTAATATAGCCATTTTTAAATAGCTATGCTAAATTGTCATTTGTTAACTATTGTCAATTATTGGGTACTATTCAAGAAAAAGTATAAAAGTAGTAACACAGCTCTTACTATTCCTGCTTCTCCTTTTAAACTATCAACACAGTTATAAATTATAGCATGACTTTCTATTTCAAGGAAAGTAATGCTTAAAGTAACCTAATAAAGTTCCTATACTGTGTATAATTAATTATTTCTCTAGATGGTTTTCAGATTGGCAGATAACATTTTCAGCTCCAGACTTCTTGATGGGTGAGATGCAATGTTTCATCGACATGTGCGTTATAAACAACACTGGTTATGTCTGGCTAGTTCTAAGAGATCTCTCACCCTGGTTAGAACTATTCAACAAAGCTCCAACAAGAGCTTTAAAATCTTGCTGGAAAGACACAAAAGCCTTTCCTTTTGAGACATATTAAAAAAAAAAAAAAAAAAAAAAAAGGGTAGAAACAAAGCTGCATCGTTGCCCCCTTTCAGGAATTTACTAGAGTTCTTTCACTTCTGTACTAACATCTCCTTTCAGTTTTGAATACTCAATAAATTATGGAGGTCTTCCTGACCAGTTGGAATTGACTTATGTGACATGCATTCTGTTCTTTCTAAATACACTTAACCTGGAAACAGAAGATAAATACACTTAGGCAGCCAACTAAACAACATTAAGTTGACAAATCTCACGTGTCTGTTTTCTCTTTGTCTCCAAGCAGCCAGTTCTTTGGAGGCCAGTTCTTCTGGGCTCATTTTTATTAGATGGTCTGGAGTAACCTCTCCTTTCAGTACTTTTTTGAACAATATCTAGAAGAAAAAAGAAAACTATTGCTGTGGAGACAAAAACAGCTCCTAACAGAAAACAAAGTAGAAGAACAAATTCAATATACTCTCTCTAAACATGAGTATTGTTTTAAAATATTCTCTGAATCAGAAACACTACTACACTTTTTTTTTTTTTAAAGATAAAAATCTCATCTCCAGAGTCCCCTGTTCAGTCTACATCTACATACACCCTTAATGATCAGCTGTATGATTAACTGTTGCTGCAAAAATAGAAAGTAAGTTTATCCCCACTGCAGCGGTAACAGACTTTTCTGTAAAGCTGTAAATTCTCTGTACGACACAACAGAAAGAAGCTAATAATAAAGAGGATATCTGTGCTTCCTGATTGACTTAAGTGAAATCGAAGGGGCATACAGGTAGGAGGGAGGACTTACATTACTTGGCAGCATGAGCAAACAAAGCAAGCCAGTTAGAGAATTTACAATTTACAGTCCATTATTACTAAAGAACGAGAGACTGAAAAAAGAAACTTGATCAGAACAGAATACAAATGATCAGAATAACTGATAAAAAGTAAAAAAGACAAGCTAAAAAGGCTGTATCAAATAATGGGCTTACAGAAAGCCAGAACTCCAGTGAAACAAGCTACGTGACAGAAACAAAAAAAAAAAAGAAAATTATGAGAAAAAATACACATCAGTGGTAAGGACAACTTTGACAAGGCAAGCTACATTCACTACAATCTGAAATCTGACTATTAAGTACACTGAGAGCAAAGATTTGTAGAATTAATTGCAGGGAAAAAAAAAAAACACAAAGAAGCAGAGAAGATTGGGTATGCAACAAGAGGACAAAACATCAAAGAGACAAGGAAACAGAGGAAAAATAATGAACAAGATTAATTGTGAGAGGTTTAATAACATATTTTCATAGAAGACTGTTCCTTTAGTACACAGAAAATAAGGGATTTCAACAAATCATTACAGACAAGTAATACATACATTATTTTTAGGATCTTTTAGATTGAACATTAAACTTCTATATTTGTTCTTATATTTTGAGTCAGTGTCTCGAAAAAAAGAAAACAGTTCTCTTTCAATCCTTGTGGCAACTTTTGCTGCTCTCTCCTCAGGAATCTTTAAACTGGAGTCTGTCAACCTGCGAGAGAATAGAAGAGCAAATACAATAATTAGCAATTACTTCCAAATATTATTTCCCCTCTGTTTTCTTCTGAAAGAAAATACTTGCAAACACAAATTAATAAATGAATTTCATTATCTTTTCATACCTTTTCATCAGAATTTCCTTAAGAGATTGCTTAACGCTATGCCTTATCTGATCAGCAGAAGGTTTGGAAGCTGGCACGGTTGGTAAATGTGCTGTACTGATTGGTCCTTTCTCATTTTTCTTTTTCTTAATTTCTTGTTTCTCGTGAACACCTACGAAAACACAGAGTTAAAAACTATAAGCTGCACGGCCACTACAATAAACATTTTCTTTGTCTCTTTTCTTTCGGGATCGGGGGATTCTGGTCAACAGCAAGCTGCACCTCAGCTAGTATTGTGCCCTGGGAGCCCAAAGGCCAACCGCACCCTGGGCTGTGGTTCTTAATCAGAAGGTGGTGGGCATGGAATAGTCGGCACAGCCCCGAGCTGCTGGAGCTCAAGGAACATTTGGACAGTGCTCTCAGACACTGGGTTTGAATTTTGTGTAGTCCTACTTGGAGCCAGGAGCTGTATTTGATGACCACTGCAGGTCTCCACCAACTTGGGATATTCTACTAAGACTAATTTTAATTAAAACTAATTTTTCCATTGCTACATTGAGAAAAAAAGCATACTGGGAAGCACTCACCACAAGCATACTCAATGTTACTTTAAAATGGAATTTTTCATTAAACTTAGCATTCCTGAATCTATTAGCCATCAAGACTATTCCAATCATGAGAATCTCAGCTGCCAGTTCAGGTAAAAGACAGTCTCAAACATGGCCACTATAATGTTTTATCATAAATAATAACAATCATATATTGTGTATGATTAAAAATATATATAAACAATATACATTTATACCCAAACTACAATCATTTCAACAATTACTTCAAATTTTAATTTGCAAAGTTTCAAGTGACTACTCATGTCTCAGCTTATGCATATATCCCTAATATACAGTAGTTATCTTCTTTTTATGAAATTAAAGAGAAAAAACATTAACTTTTTTTTTTTTTTTACTCTGGAAAAAAAAAAAAGAAACATCTAAGACTAATAAAGACCTAGCTTTACGACTGATGGCAAAAAGAACATTTCTTCATTATTTCCTTCAACTATTGTGTGCAATTTAAAACACTTCAATACCAGAAGCATACTACTTTTTCAAGTAACTAGAAAACGACAGATTTTATTTTCCATGGGGCAGAATACGTACTTGGAACATCAGCTCTGTAATTAATGTGACAATCAGCCCTACCAAGATTATGAATTCTCTTTCCTCACTAGAAAGGCAGTAAAGACTGGAAACCGTTGTCATACTTTCACACTGTGATCTGATATGCTAGACTTATTAAGTAAAGCAGCTTTAATAATGCTTTTATTTGCTCATCTCCTCTTCAGAATTGGATGAAGAGCTAAGTTGAAACGTTTTTCAAAATGAAATGAAGCCTGAGAGTGTCAGGGGAAATAGAAAGTTTCCACATGCAAGCAATATTTCAGAGAAATTTCAACCATCTGAAACTACAGTCCCATAAGAGGGAAATGATAGGCAAGATTAGCAATAAACAATGCCACTATAAGCATCCTAAAAAGCAGTTAAGATTAAGACAAACTCACTGCTTATCCATTTTTATGCTAAAATCTCCTAAAGGAGATTGCCAAGCCATCCAGTTTAAAAGTGATCTTCAGGTTAATTCTTACTCTGAACTCATCAGTGAGACACCCTTTTGTCACCTCTTAATTCAATTAATACATTTTAGAACAATTCAATGATTCCACAGATGCCGAAGACTCATTTCACCCATGCAATACGTAGTTAGAAAGGTTCTTAGCTATTCTGCGACTCAGAACTTGAATAGTACAGTATCTGAAGTCTAAAGGACACTATTCAGTATCAAATACTTACATTTAGATTTACATTTCATCCTGATACATTCAATTATTTTCTTCCAGAAAAAAAGTTTCTGGAATGTCAGAATTGACAAACGACCAGAAAAGCATATTTTTTTTTAGACATGAATTCAAAGTTTGAGTTTAGGATTTAAAGACAGTTCTCATGCAAAATCTCAATAGCGCTGCTGCTAAGATTTCAATACCAGATCACAGGAATTCCATCTTAGCATGAGCTTAAAAGAGTACTGTTTCCAGGAAGGGAGATAGGGGATGCAGGTAGGTTTATTCTGAGGGAAGATATGTACCTTTCATCTTTCAAATAAAATTTCAAATGAAAATCATTTGCAGGAATAAAACATTTAAAAATTGATACTACATAGTATCACTGCCCTTCATTCTACACGTCAGTTACAGCATGAAGTACTTTTCCTAGTCATTACCTGATTTTGTGGACTTTTCAACTACATTAAGTGACTCTTTACTATTTTTTTCTCCTTTTTCTTCAGAGGACCGCCGAGGAATTACAGCAGTTTGCGATGCTTTACGAGCAGGAACATGCTGGCCTTTTTTAGTATCTGAGTCTATGGATTCTGTTAATTTCTTCCCATCACCAGATTCCTGAAACAAACATTTACATGATAACATTCTGCTGAATGCTGTAATGAATCACAGCATAATTACCATGCATTTTTCTCAATTTTTTAAGTATACAAGTATAGTAAACCCCCCAGAAGTACATGCACCACCATGTAAGCCATCTTGGAAGTTACTGAATAATTTCTCAAATTGCTACCAACTGACTGACAATTTCCTTCAAAACTGAACTGGCCCAAGGCACACCACAGGCAATTTGCAGTTAAGCTCTATGTTGAAAAACACTGTGTTTAGCTGCCAGGGAGACCAGAACATCCCATAACCAGCTTTAGTCACACATTCACAGGAAGCCACATATGACTGTAGCTTACATGTAAAACAAATAAAAAAAAAAACCTGATCAAAGTTAAACAGAAGAGCTTACATGTCAGAATCACAGCAATGCAATAAAATAAAAAATGATCAATGATGATTAAGTTATGCTGAACATGATACAATATGTCAAAAGACTGAGTAAATTTAATAAAAAGCAAGTCACCTCACTGCTCTTGATAAGTAAAAGAAAGCAGAAAGATACTAATTAAGACATCAAGCATTTTCTTCTAAATCAAAGTAATCTAAAGTAAGATTGTCAAAACTAAAATGCTGTTTTCACTTAGTCCCATAATGCTTAAAGGATGTATGCTTTTCATAAGATAGCAAATGGACAGATGCCTAAGAAAAGTTTTGAAGGCAAAATTCACTAACTTCTTCAAAAGAAAAGATGAACAGAACGTTCAAAACCATCTGGCTATGCTTTGATTGGAGGCTACAGCATTAGATTATGCAAGTTATGGAACATGAGAAAATCTACAGTGTATACTAGATTCAAAAATGCTTATAATGTAGTATTCCCAAACAGGGGAGGTAGGAGAAAATGCTCTACCCTCAGTAGCAAAAAAGAATTTAAATAAGACTCACCCGTTTGAAAATTTTGACTTTATGTTTCCCTATGTCCTCTGTCTGCTTTCCTTTTTCAGTTGCTAAGTTCAGATTACAAGTAGGTCCTTGCTTTGACGTCCCTGGTTTTTCATATTCAATTGCTTTTTCTTCTTTATGGCTGTCCATTTTCACTTGAGTATCCAGGACACTTTGATCCAAACACTCTGCCTTTTTATCTTCTTCAGCACAGCACTTCACACACACGTATTCTTTATCTTCTTCGCCCATCTGCTGTGCTTGAGAAAGACTCAGTCCAACACAATCGCCATGAAACCAGTCATCACACCTACCACAGCCTACCATAAACCTGAAAACAAAGCAAGATACAGATTAGCACATTAAAAAAAAAGCAAGCAACAATGCAAGCAGAATGTATCACACTTGCTTTGATTTGTGCATCTCAGCAACTTGTTCTTACCTGATAAACGATTCTTTTTGTAGCTTTACATCCATCTCCAGCCTTACAACATGGTATGATCTGAGAAATGGCTGTATTTGAGAGTTTGAGTGGTTTTATTTGCCTTTTTGCAATAGTCCAAGAGAATATCACAACCTCGCTATGTAATGTAACTTGTAAGCCCTACCAACAGAGTCTTTTCAGAATACTACCAAAACAAATTGAGCAAAGAAGACTCTCAAAAACTCAAAACCACTGAACAAACTTTGAGAAAACTGAAACATTTTCCTGCAGAAGCATATCTCACATGTTTTCCTCCAAACTTACAGTAGAAATGTATCAACTGATGACTTAGCCTTCTATTGCAGTAAGATATGTTTAAGCATTTTTCAGAAATATAAACAGCACACAGCTAGTTCCAGAAAGTTTTTTTTTTTTCCCTCTCTTTTCTTGTGAACTTGGGGTTAGGAATGTGGCTTCCAGCTAAATCTGACCTGTTTGCAGTTATTAGTAAGTTTGAAATTAGGTATGTCACTTCTGTCACCGTCTTACTCCCAGCTGTAGCTTCTTGAATCATACTTATAATATCAAAACGAGAATTGCTTAAAGAACACTTTTCATCTCACAGTCACTTCAACTGTTTCATTTTTTTTCAGCAAATGTGACTTTACGCACAGCTTGCATTTCAAAGTGCAATGAAGATCACCTGGTCTAAGATAAAACCCTAGTTTCCAATGATTTTGCTAAAGCTACTTTGAAATTTCAATAGATATTACTGGCCGCTAATTGCACTGATAGGTATAATTTCTCAACTATTTTGGAGTAAAGTGGAATTTCAGAGTTAAACAGATTATATACATCAATAGATTTGTTTCACTCAGAAGTAACTGCTTTTAAAATAATTTCTTATAAAAAAATTCACCTAAGTTAAGTGCTACTGATCTGCTTTCAAGTGATGTAAAAGATCTCTTGCATCACCTTCCTAGATTTTTTTCTTCCTTTTTATCTTTTTTTTTTTTTCCTATACATATTATGTATCTTAATGTCTGGCAGAAAATACAGAAAGACTGCAAGTGATTGCATTATGAAAAGTGTGACTTTGTAAGTACTGAAAAATTATATACAATTTCTTTGTAAATCCCATAGATGACTGAAGTCTGTAGACTCTTCTACGGAAGACTCCTAATGTGTACGAGCTCCTGTAAAAATGAGGAGCTGCTACTCTCTGACTTACCTACTTTGAAAGACTAAGCATATATTATAAAATGTACTAAGAGAAATTCTCATTCACCAGAACTACAGACGAACACTCAAGGTGGTTTGAGGCCAGTACTGTACTCAAAAAACTACAAGAGATGGAGAATCTTCCTAGTCTAGCAGCATAAGTTTGAAGTGCAAGAACAGAAAAGAGTCATAGCTTTATCTTCTGTCCTTACTTACCCAAAATAACTATTTATTAAATTCAGTTGAAGTAAATAAGTTTTTTGATGCAAAATGAGTATGATAAGCTTTAAAGCTCCAGCTGTTCAAGGAACAGCTCACTTCCAGTTTTAGTAGTCTATATATATATGCTGTTCACTAGATTTGAAAAAACAAAAAGTCTTTATAATAATCTAGTTTGTGAAGAAAGCTATTTTCTCTTTCTCCTAAGCTACAAGTACATCAGTTGGTGTTAATGACGACTAACAAAAAGATCTGCCTGTCTATTCAGTTGTTTCAGTTAATGAAGGCACAGGTTCCTTCAAAGTTTGCCAGTACCTCCATCTCTTCACATACATGTTCCAGCAAAGCAAGATATAAGAATGGTAACACTACTGTTACGTGCTTCTGACCCTCTCTACCACAGAAATACTGTAGTATTACAGGAAAACAAAGGAGAAGTGATGGAAATTTGACACAAAGATGACTGCTTCATTATGAGAGTGTAAAGTCAAATGTGATGGTATGAAATATTGCATGAATGCCTACGTCACAATTCCTATTTCACAATTCCAAGGATCTACAAGATGCTTGACATGATACATCCTGCAGCATTGCAAAAATTACTAAAACTCTGGGAATACCAAAAACTGGTTTATAAAAATCCAAAACCATTTTCTACAGAGCTGAAAGAAGATCAAAACAGACAAGTATTTTGTTGTACTGATGAACGAACGCCTTCTGGTTAAAAACTGAAGGAAACTGAGAAAGCACAATCTTGAAGCTGCAAATACTACTAGAATTTTTATTAAAAACTTTTTTTTTTTTTTTTTTTTTAATTTCAGTTTGTAAACTCAAGCATTGGAAACTAATTTGTTAAATGAGCAGGACACATTGCAACTGCAGCAACCAAAACTAAAATTTTGATTTGAAAGCACAGATGAACTCAGGACTAAAACAAACAAAATGCTGCACAACTTCAGCTTTAAACTGACAGCATGTGTAATTTGCAGCTTTGCTCACAAACTGGAAGTGGCAAAAGGGACGGATGGTTTGCGACATCAGTAAAGCACCAAATAAGCATTCAGTCTTATATCTTTATTTTCAGGTCTAGCAATAACAGAAGTGAGACTTTTTTTTTCCCTCCCCCTTCACAAAGGCTTTACCTAGTTGGACAGTTTATAATAAAGTCCTATCCCATACTCTGAACTAGGGATTTCAGCTTCTAAATAGTTTAACTTTGCTGAACAGGAGTAATTTAAGGCAACTGAGCAGAAGAGCAGAGGCACAGGCTTCCAAGAACAAGCTGATTCCTAATAGCCCAATTTCAAAGATATTTACAAGTTGTACTTTCTTGGTTTTGTTTCCACATTTTTATGCAAATAATTAAAAAAAAAAGGAAAAACTGTAAATGAATTCTGCTCAGAAACAAGTAATTATTCACAAAGAATATACACCAAGATGGAGAGACATCATTTTAGCCATCTTAATGAAACTACTGAAGACGTAGCATCCATTTGGGTTTATCCCAAATAAGGCTTTACAATAAGGTTTCAATTGCACTGTATTTAAACACGCATAATAAAACTTCAGATTCAGAAAATAAGACTCAAAGAGAATTTGGAAATGTCCATGAAGCCTGTGCTATAAACAAAATTTAACTGTTCACAATTATCTGGCTTAAATTTTGTTATACAAAATGGTAATAAAAATAGTGGTGCTGCCTGCCTGAAAATGTCACTGTTTTCACACTAGTCAACTGAAAGTCTCAGTTTCAAGGCTGAAAGAGAACATATGATTTTGATACAAGTAATGTAAGAAATCCTTTGTATCATAAGGCTGTATTTGCATCTTTATCTGTTTCACTCATCTGCACACAAAATGCAATTATGATTTATAACAGTAATTGTATTTGGATAACAAAAGCGACAGTGCAACGCTCAAAAATTAAAAGGGGACATCAAGTGACACTGAAGCCTCGCTTGAAGGATCAAAGATGTCCTCTTGCAAAGCTGTCAGTTGTGACTGAAGAGGTTCTGATATCTTGGACTATTTAAAACACCAAAGTTTCTGAACGCAGATTGCTTCAATTTGCAGAGCAGGAATTTTACCCGTGTTGTAAGGCTGGAGTGGAAGATGTAAAGCTGAAAGAGAAAAAAAAAGTGTTTTAAAATATTGTATCAACCCCCATTCAATAGAAAATTAGAACTGCTTTTACTTTTCTTCAATATAAAAACTTTCCATCATGAAAAAAAATTAAGAAGAACTGACAGGTGACAGTGGAACGTGTAACAGTTCACTGGGACCTTTACATTTTATTGTTTCATTCCTTTTAAATAATTCTTGGCAGTCTCCGTACTGTGTAAAAAAATGCACCTTCAAAAATCAGAACAGATCATAGATGAAAAGAGACAATAATTGAAGCAAACATTCCATCACCACCTTTAAGTCTGGGAGACTTCCCTTAGTGTCATTTGTGGCAAATTAAATTCATCTGTGATATTAAAAAATCCCTCAGGTTTGGACCACATTTTCAAAATGCAGGGTCAGGTTTTAAAATTAATTTACATAAACTCAATACATACAACAAAAACAAGTTTCTAGAGAATCCAATCACTGTGAAATTAGATTTTAAAACTTTGTGCTACAAGTCAGCCAACATTAAAGTTGAGACACTGCATGGAAACAATTGTTTTCCCTTCAGACATTATTAGAAGAGTGATGAGCTTAACCTTTACCAATCCACTTCATTACCATAGAGGCTGAGAAAGATATTCACAGCAACTTTAGCAAAGCCTGTGTTTCACATCAGTGTAGCTTGGACTCAATTCAAAACTCAGAGAAATAAAAAGTTACAAAAAAAAAAAAAAAGTGCACAACCTTGTTACCAGAGAACAAGTTTTTGTTTGTTTATCATACAAGTTCAATACGCTTGATTACTGATTTTTTTCAGTTTTTTAGTCTTCTAGAAACAAGTACTGGTGGTTTTCATAGAAACATTATCATCAAATGTCTTTACAAGGAGTGCACAGCATAGGATAAAGATACTGAAAACTCTAATTTCCTAGTTATCATTTGAGTAACTCTATTATACAATACAAGCTCCTTTCTCATTTAAAGGCTGATTCTTTACTATTTTTCGTGTTACACAAGCCTTTCTAAAATGGAAGCAATCTATGACACTGACAATTCTATTCTGCCTGAACAGAAGGTAAATTAAAAAAAACAACAACAAAAAAAAAAACAGGCCCAAGCAACTGAAAAACCAAAATCCTTGATCTTCCCCAAACCATGAAAAAACTGGCTGCATCTCCTAACACTAACCACAAACCTGCTAAAAGCAATACTAAAGGCAGCTCCCTTAGTAAGCGCTTTTATCTACGTTTTGCATCTTGCAGAATCAGTTCTCTAAACTGCACATACACAAGCATGTTATAAAACTATGTATTTTAGACAACTAAAATGATTCTAAACTGAAAGATAGTAGATTTAGACTGGATATTAGAAAGGACTTCTTTACTTTGAGGGTGGTGAGACACTGGAACAGGTTGTCCAGAGAGACTGTTGGGTGCTCTCATCCTGAACGTGTTTAAGACCAGGCTGGATGGGACTTCGAGCAACCCGGTCTAGAGGGACGTGCCCCTGCCTATAGCAGGGGGGTTGGAACGAGATGATCTTAAAGGTTCCTTCCAACCCAAACCACTCCATGGATTCCTGGCTCTCCACTGGTACTGGTATTAATGGAAATTCTACTAATATTGCAGCAAATTAATAGAATCTGTATTAATAAACACTAGCAATAAAATGGGACAGTTGTATGAAACACACTGGAGTCCTTAAATTTTTTAATGACATATTACAATGCCACCTTGTTTACACTGTAATTTAATTTTGCTACAGCAACAACAGCACGTGGATTTTTTTGTTTTTAAACTTTACACATAAATTGAAGTAATTTTGTATATTAGTTTTACAGAAGCTTTTTGGTGGCTCTCTACACCCAAGAGATTAGAATATTTTATCTTTTCTTAATCAAATTCTACACCTTTACAACTGCCTTTTACAGTATCGGTACCTTTTCCTCCATTTTCCACAACTGAAATGCAGCAAAAAAGCATGACCTAAGTAAGGAAGAATCTTGTTCTGCACTACAAAGCTCTGAGAAGTCCTAGTACTCCGACCACACAAATGGCATCATCAAATTCCAAGCAACACAAAAACAGATTAAAAAAAAAAAAAAATTACTAGAATTGTAGAAATCAAGAGGAAATTACCAGAAAGCAATTAGAATTACAGACTTCCCTTTGCTTTCCATAATGCTTTCTAGAAAATTTGTTTAGAAACAGAAAATCTCAAGTTATGTACTAATTATTAAATTTAAGTTGGTGAACAAAGGAGAGGATCTTCAAAACTTCAGTTAAGTTTTGTCTTTCTGCCTAAGAAAGAAATTAATTCAGCTTATGAATCTGAGCATATCGAACATTTACAAGGAAAAATGGAGAAATTTATAATATGGACACAAGAAGAAATCCTCCATTAGCAGATTTCTCACAGTCTGCAGAGTACCCTCATCTAGCTCTATGCCAGGAAATTCAATGGTTTTTTTTTCTTCTACTATTTTTAAATACCTTCAATCCGTCTTCAGGAAAAGTAACATTTACATTTGTGATAGATCTTATTATCTCCAACATAGTTTCAGCTCACTGAGAAATTCAGGTAGTAACTTTGGTCTGTAAGATCTTCGTGCAATAAGCATATATATAGATAGATAGATTTACAGGTATATACAAATGCCTTTCATCTATATATGGATGAATCAAAATTTACAGGTGTGATGTATGTTACCAGATGACAAGAAAACATCTGACAGTACTGGAACACAATAGTAAAGCCAAACGAGTTGAAAGAAATACTGCAATCAGTAATAAAAAACAACTCAAACTTTGCTCTAAGCAGATAAAAACTGTGCCATATATTATAAAAATTACTGAATATAAAGAGACATCAATTATCTGACCTGACCCAGAAAGAGTTTAGTTTCCATTTGAAAGAACAACTACTTATTTAGTTATCTTGCAAAAGTAAATTTCTGAATGGGAATCAACAGAAAACCATCAAGCAAACAGATTATAACAACCAATTTTTAAGTCAAGCACTGATCACCCAGTTTATGGGGAAGGGTGATACAAAATACAATTCAGCTATGTTGGTTCCAGCTTATAAACATCAAGACAAGTAGAAAGCAGAATATAAACAGTTACTGTTCAAAGCAAGAACAATAATCAGATCTATCAACAGGTACAACTCTTATAAGATAAGGCATATTTTAACTTGAAAGTTTTTTTGATCATGAAAGTTACAAGAATGGACTCCTTTTCCAACCAAATCCCTCTGTCAGTTGTATAAGGTAAGTCTACTTCAACTCTAAATGTGGTCAATTGTAGAAAACTGGATACAATTTTTTAAGTTGATTCTGAAATAAAACACCACCCAACAGTACCTCCATCCTGTGCTGTTCTTCTAGCATAGCGTAGGCAGATCACAGGAAGATTACCCTGGGGCTGTGAAAGGCCTAAATAAGCATCTTGCTTGGGGATTCTCTACACAAACAAGGCTGATGAAACAATCTCTACATTCTCTCTGACCTGAATCAATTCTCCAAGCTTAGTATTATGTTAATAAGTTGGTGAGTTTGTATTTATTGCAGGGAAGATTAAAAGGTTCACGAGTCCAGTATTTTGTAGCCTAAATTTTGTGTGTTTCATTATTATGGCATATTGCAAAGTAGTAATGCACATTATTTATGAACAAGACTGCAAATTCAGCTCAACTTTTTCTACAAATAATTTGTACCACAGCATTAATAAAAATTTCTAAAGTGACCACTGAACAGAATTTCCATTGCAAATACTGTTCCATATCTTAGCCCTGTCAAACTTCGGCCATTTTAAAATACTTCTCTATCATGTCACACTTTTCTTTCTCCTCACCCCTATACCACAAACATACAAGTAAACAAAATGGGCTGGCTCACCGCACTGTTACATGAGGAAGACAAAAATCCCTTGAAATGCAATCCACAAAATGCATTAAGGGGAGGAGGAAACATTCCTCTGGATAATTTTGATATGCTATTCACTCGGAAATACATCAAAACTATTAAATTTATTATTTTAATATTGAATACTGAAGATGTTTGCTTGGCTTTTTGCCAATACTTAGACATAAAAATGCCAAGACACTTCAGATGTAAGTTCTGCTTCCCCTTCAATCCCAGCAACATCAAGCGAATCAGAAAGGTTTATGAAATAAAAAAAAAAAAAAATAATTTTTAAAAAGTGTTAATGGAATATGATGGACTGGTCTTAATTTTTCTATTACTAAGTATGAGGTTCAGTAATGAAAGCTTCCTCATCAGCATATCTCAATCACATTCCCTATATCTTTCTAAATTTAGGTAATACAATCTTCTGCTGAAACTTGGTTAGATCAAGACTTCTGACAAATTTTTGTTGTTGCTGTCTCAAAAAAGAAGAAGAAAAAAAAAACAAAATAAAAAAAATACCTACACAACAAAAACCTGACATTAAAAAGGTTGAGATACCAGTAATCACAATCTGAGAAAATTCATGACTGCTATCAACAATGACCTCAGTTGGTCATCCAAATATTATACTGCTATATGCCATTGTAAGAACACTAAAACCTGACCATGTCAAGTTGGTTTGCTGTACTTATTCCTGGTTGTATATGTGTTATATCGTTAATTTTACTTCAAATTGATTAGTCCTGGCTTAAACTGAGGAGATGCCAATTGCATAAAATAAAACAGTATTACAGAGGGATAAATGGTAACAAGTTCTAATAATGTTTTTCTAAAAGAAAGCATATGAAATTAAGTTTGCAGAGCAAACCTATCATTACCTCTTTTAATAACACCAATACAGATACTACAGCTGCAAATTAAATGAGCAAAAAACAGTCACTAGATAATGAATCTAAACCAAAGTGGTAATGAAGGAATTCTTATTCCTGGATTGACAGCTCATTATTGGAATATAATGGCCTTTTTCAGTTCACTTAGTGACAGAGGGATGTCAACTTT